AAGCAACATAAGTCCAGTGGCTAAATGCCTGTTATATATATATATATGGAAGGCGTGGCCTGAAGTTATGGGAGGGGCTTGGTTCCCCTTCTTAAGGAGCACCAGCCCTTCCCTCATTACCTGTTAGGTCTGGCGAGTTGTGTGGAGAGAGATCGTCACTTCCGGTCGGTCCTCACGCCATTCTGCTTACCTGTATCTCCGTGGTCAGCTTCCAGGGTCCTGTTTCCTCCGGGTTCGTCTGGCTGGATTCATCTCTAGGCTGGGCGGTCGCGGGTTTTTTTCGTTGCGGCAAAATCGTAAGTTACACGGCTGTCGCAATTTTCGGCAAGGCCGGTTTACGTCATCTTAGTACGATGATCACAAGCACGGTAGCAGTTCGGTACATAATTACACGAATGCCGGCATTCGGTTACAGCTCATATACGGTATATAGCTATGTTTAAATGTTTATTCGTGTGGGGCAATTCGTTACATATTCTGGTCATCTTATGAACGTTCGTTTGCCGAAACTCTTTTCAATATTAGATGTTAAAACTTGTGATAGGCACTAGGGCGACCTCTGGTGGCTGGTTATCATTACAGATTTCTCTCTCGAGTTCTGGTTCCACGACCCCTGGTGGTCATAAGGGTTATGACGTGGCATAAATTGCATTTTTGATTTAGGTATGATTACAGAATATTTGTAGACATATGTTATGACATCACGGCTGGAGCAATTACATGTTACGGAGGATTTGGTAGCAATAGTTGTGACACATTTTTGCTTGTTAGGATATATGTCTGGAATCAATTCAGCCATCAGGAGGATGGTTCAATTATAATACTTTGGCCTACGATATACTTTCTGGTTTTATAATTAACACATACACTATATTAGTATGAAATATATATACAGGACATATTGTCACGAGCAATGCCTAGCTGTTTGATGATTATGGACCTCTTATGTTTTCAGTATTCAACAGCAATTCTACAGTGGGCTGCTACTCTTCAAACTTTGTCAATTGACATAGGTCAATAATCACGATTAATTATACCTTAATGGTCACGCAAGACCTGGGTCCTTATATGTGTTTTTCTGTATTACTAGGTATAGGCATCCTTGCTCTTTTTGAGAATTTGGTTCCAGTCCCCTTCTGTTGGAATAATTACTGGTAGTTATCGGGATAGCAGGGGATTGAGGGGTACATATTTTTAACCCTTACAAACTCAAAATTACTCTCGTAGGTTGCTACAGATCACCTGTATCACCTTAGCATACTATCTTGCAATTTGCTCATCAGGTACATCATGTTTTTCTTGATTATTTCTCCCTCCCTACCTACCCTTTTTCGGGTAACAGTACAGATATACTGGCATACACAATAGGAGCCTCTAGGTATGTTTTTCTGGCCTTCTACGCCTTACGTTAGTGGTCCCGCGAGGCCAACATCCATCCTCATTTCGGAGGTACGGCATTCCCTCGGGCCAATTCATAGCTAGCCGCCTCGCTTGGTTGCATAGAGAGGGCCTCACTTGTCACTCCCATTCTGTCTTATGCTTTTACGAATCACGGAGAGACCATCACCCTGCCATAATGCCAATGGCCACGTACCCCACACGAGCCAAATCATATATAGTGCCTCTCAAAGCCACTTGGCAACTAGTAGGGCCTCACCTGTCACGTTACTAAGTAATACTTTCGCCGCTTGGCATTAGTTACACCAGCCAGTAGAGTAGGGCCCCAGGTAACATATTATTTTTATGTTGTAGCATGTCACAAATACCCGAAGGCGGGGAAGATTTGTCCATCCCCAGCACACCGGCTAGATCGGTCACTCCATCCCGGGGTGACGACAACGTGAGCCCTGCATCACTCAGGGCATGGACCATTCCTCGGATCACTGCCGAACTAAGGAAGAGGAATATTCCTTCCCCAGCCACTACTAGGAAAGCAGAATTATACAGACTGATAACTCAGGGGCGGGGGAAGGGTCCAGTGGCAGCCAGTCTTCTGATCTGCATACTGTTTTGTCCTCAGTCCTGACGTCTTTGGGTCGTATTACGGATAAACTCGACAAGATGGATGCAGATAGCCAGCAACGGTCATCTTCTGCATTAGGGATTCCGGTCGTTACGGTGCGCCTGGACCCCCTACCGGGTAATATACCAACCGGTCTGAAAGACCCACATATTATAAAACCGGCACATATGGTGCCTGCAAACACTAAAAAGGACATCTTGGAAGGGAAGGATATCAATCTGGTATCACTTCTTATAGCCTCGCAAGATGTCCTTGAAAATAAAACCTATGCATATGGGGATGTGTCGGTTGTGTTGAAATCTAGGGACCCTTGGTTGAATCGGAAACTACTTATTCCCGAATTTGTGTTGGCTTTCCGGATATACAGAGGTGTGATATGCTCTGTATATCCGGATAGGAGAGAAGAATTGGACCTTTATCTCCACAAGCTAGTGGATTTGGGGCACAAGTACGGTGGTACGTCTTTTTACGACTACCACCGTGCCTTTTCCGCAAAGGTGTCGGCTGCTCTATCTCAGTTCAATTATCAAGCTGATTGGGGTGTGCTTGATACAGAGCTTTTTTGTCGACACTTTGCGGGCCTCAAAACCCCAGCTTGTGCCATTTGCTCATCCAACTCCCACACGGCTAATCTGTGCCCTAACTCTCCAGAGGTGAATGCCGTTTTTTCTCCTACTAATGTGATGCCCACTGGGAGAATAGGCAGGGTGCTGAAAGATAAACTAGGCCGTGATATAGTGTTTTTGGGAAAATCGCAAGTCTGTAAGAATTTTAACACTGGCACTTGTGGATACAGTGCCTGCAGACTACTGCATGTCTGCTCCCAATGTTTCTGAGCTCACTCCAAAGTAATGTGCCCCAATAAATTATATCCTAAGCAGTACTTATAGTCTCTTAATGTCCTCCTACTGGAAGAGCTTTTGTGTGGTCACCCATCTCGACATCTCGTTGAGTTTTTGGTGGCAGGTTTTACTTTGGGGTTTCACACGGGTATTATTCACATGCCTACGGGAATCTTGGAATGTAAAAACTTACAGACAGCCCAAGCAGCTCCCGACACTATTGACCTACTTCTCCAGAAGGAAGTTGACCAAGGATTCTTAATTGGCCCTTTCGACTCCCCACCTTTCGCGGTTTGGAGAACTAACCCCATAGGACTGGTCACTAATAAATCTTCCAACAAACAATGGTTCATTCTCGACCTATCTGCTCCCCATGCATCACCTACCCCAAGTCTCAATTCACTAATTCCATCAGAAGAATTTTCCCTCCAATATGCTACCATAGATAATGCCGTCACTGCCATCCTCTCGGCCGGGGTAGGGGCATGGCTGAGTAAAGCAGATATTGTAAATGCCTTTAAATTACTCCCTATCCACCCTTCCCTGTGGCATTTACATGGTGTTAAGTGGCAAGGTTCATATTATTTTTTTACGCGCCTCACGTTTGGTTCTAAGAGCAGCCCCAGGATTTTTGATATATTTGCAGAGACGTTGTGCTGGATGCTGCTTAACATCTGTAAATGCCCCGCCGTGATCCATTACCTGGACGATTTCCTGACCATAGAAAGGAACCTGGTACCTCCTAGTAGCCTCCTGTCCATAACACGACTGTTCACACAACTAGGAGTACCTGTTTCACCAACAAAGACTGAAGGTCCAGATACGATCATCAACTTCTTGGGGGTGGTGCTGGACTCTGTACATATGCAGACTAGCCTCCCTGGGGAGAAGATTGAACGCATCCTGGCAGTCATCGACCTTTACCTAGCAGGTGGCTCATGTAATAGGAAGGAGTTACAATCCCTGTTGGGTTCACTAAATTTCGCTATGAAAATTATTCCACAGGGGAGAGCGTTCATATCCCGTTTGCTTAGCCTATTTCCCCTATTGCAATCTGATGCCTCCCGCATTACGTTAGACGTACATGCCACCACTGCTGTGCAAGAGCTGTGGGAGATGTAGTGGACTTGGGTACCTTTAGTGGTCCATCAAAGGGTCCTTAAGGGTTTAAAGCACTTAAGCCACTTTTAACTAGATTTAGGCAAGTGTCAAGGGGTGTTTCAACAATGATGAAGATAATGCCAAATATTCTACGTCAAGAAGGGATTAGATATATCCACTGCCACCAAGCCTTAAAGATATTGACATTATTTGAAGGGAATTTTCCCAGAATGGGAAGATGGTCCTAGAGAGGAGGATGAAGTAGTTGAGTGCACGTATGATAGGCACCTAGTAAGGAGGACTGACTTCCATTTTGAAAGAATATGAGGCTGTATAGGCAAGCTTAAAATGTCAAGTCCTACTCTACTAGCTGGACCTTAACCATTACTGAACATGATGTACTGTATATATACTGGGGCTGAATGTCTACTTGCAGGACAGAATGTCCGCTTGCCACTCTACTAGCTGGACCTTAACCATTACTGAACATTATGTACTGTATATATACTGGGGCTGAATGTCTACTCGCAGGACAGAATGTCCGCTTGCCACTCTACTAGCTGGACCTTAACCATTACTGAACATGATGTACTGTATATACTGAGGCTGAATGTCTTCTCGCACGACAGAATGTCCTCTTGCCAGTGTCTAGTGATGAGTAGAATTTGTGAGTTGTGGTTTAGACAGGCAATCGATGACAGAGCCACTATGAAATCTTTACGTGTGTCTGAAAAAAAGATTTTAAAAAAACAGCTTGTAAAATCTAAATAATGCTTGTGCTTGAATTACTCAGATGTCAAGCTATACATCTAATAGTGAAGCCAATCGCCTGTGTAATGTTCTAAACAAAATGTGAGCATAGCATCTTGTATGTGTCCTTAGGACAAGCAAGGTCAAGCAAGATAACCGCTAATTAGTGTATTCACAACAGCACGCATTAGACCAACATGAGTGCTTATAATCATAATGACAGAACAAATTAGCCCGACTCGCATATAAAGATTCAGAAAGCGGACCTAGCCCTTATTATTAATATCATAGTGTGTGTTTATCCTTGGGACTTATTCAAATGCTAGAAGGCAGAGCAACCAAGATGACAATGTGATAACAGAGAATAGTACAGCCTGCTGTCTTTCTATCTGCAGTCCTTAAAGGATTACTCTAAGCACCAAAACAACTGTAAGTTAATGAAGCAGTTTTGTTGTATAGATCATGGCTCAGAGTCTCACTGCTCAATACACTGCCATTTAGGAGTTAAATAGCTTTGTTTCTGTTTATACAGCCCTAGTTACACCTCCCCAGCTGTGGCTGACATAGCCTGCATGAAAAAATGGATGGTTCCCAATTCAGATCTTATAGCACCATGTATTTACTTTAGAAGCTATCTTCTGCTCTGTTAATTTAACTATAATCGAACACATAAAGACTGCTGTAGGCTCTAGCAGGCTATTAACAGAGGAGGAGACACATTCTAAATTAAACACACTATTCAGTAAAGTAAGTTTAAAAATTAGACCTTTCTCTATAGGAAGTGTGTCACAGGCAGGAGAATAATGGCCAGGGCTGCCTACATAACTCTTTAATGGCAGAGATTTTAACAGTTCAACTGCGGGGGTATGATCTATCCACCAGTAGCTTAGCTAAAGTCGTTTTAAGTAATGTTTATATTGTCACTTTAATTAAATTCATTGTCTGGAGACAACCACAACTTTCTCTGCTTATATGGTTAACCCCTTCACGTCAGCACTTGTATACACCCATTTGTCAGGGTCTACGCCCATACCCCGCAATTCTGTATATACAATTAAAATGATTGCAAATTAAATTTGTTCATTGTAAATGAATTTCAAGCTCTGGCTCGGCTGATCCCCCCACAGTCTCCCAGTGCGGCATGGGCTGATAGAGAGACGATTCTACACAGTGCTGTTCTGCTTACTCTAAAGGCTGCGCACAGGCTCCGAGCAGCACCCTGGAAGAGCTTGCTCCCAGTCAGAGACCACTCCTCCTCCACACACACACTCAGTCACTCTGTCACATCACCCTCTCCCCTATACACAGTCACAACGTCACATCACTCCACAACCACACACATATACTAAGTCACCCTGTCACATTACCGCCTCCCCTATACATAGTCACTGTAGCGGATGGCATTGGGCTGTCCTCAGAATTATGTATATTAGTATGTTTTCAGTTTAATTTTGCCATGTGTATGTCCAGTTGTGGCGAAACCAACCTTGCCACTGGGCATTGGAGAAGCCTGTTTGCCTACCTCCTGCCTGCTGACTGGCTCCTGGGAGATTTGGCCCTTTTAATACGGTATTTGGGCATATTGTATTTTATTATGCTGCTGGCCCTTTAAGAACCATCTGGGGACATACTGTGACTTTTGGGAACAATGCCCCTTTAAGACCTTGGAAGATATTACCTGTTAAAGACTATTTTAGCAGATTGGATTTTAAAAGACTTTCTGCCCTTTAAATTGTGTTGGAGCAGTTCTGCAGCTTTAAATTGGCACTTCGGATGCAGCCGAAGTAGTCGAAGTGGCCGCCATTCGACAAACGAACACGTGGCGGTGGCCATCTTTAATTCAACTGAAGTTTTACCTTCTCCAGACTTCAATGCATTCGACAGTTCATTCGACTGTTCGACAATTCGAATGGTTGTCGTTCGTCTGTTTGAACTGACTTTAACATGGGAAATAGACCAACCGCACAGCCTGATTCTCTGGAACTGTTTTGGACATGTAATTATGTGCTTTCGGTCGGTCAAACTTGACCTATATCTATCTCCCGAATGGCTGAACGGATGCGAATGATTTTTATGAAGATTGGATTTATATTTTTAAAGTTATAGTACATATATAAATACTGTATTTTTCCTGCTTGTGATAATTATGTTAACCCATTGTGTACCATAATTATATCACAGGCAGAGGGGAGGATTTTGTGTATAATTGCTGGGAGTGTCTGTGTGTAATGTACATGTGTTATTGGTTGTTCTGTAAAACCCTGTGGGCAGTACTATGTTTGTGGATTGTGAATAAAAGAGGCTGTATGTGCCAGTACAGTCAGTTCTGCTTGACCTCAAAACAAAGTGTTGTCTCGTTATTGGGGAAATTGGATTGTATGCTGATTGCCAGGAGTGTAAGCTGATTGTATGCTTTTCCTGTTCAGCTGCTTACAGCATTCATATGCTTGAGAGCATTCGTATGCTTCTCCGGTTCGGTGGTTGTGGTGTCTGCTGCAGTGCTTGGAGTCATCAGGAAGTGCTAGGAGCATCCTTCAACGGAGGTACCCAGTCTGGGTGCCAGATGATCCGTTACACAAGTGTATGCAGCATTCGTCTGATTGTTCGGTAAAATCACTACAGTTATTATGCGAGGAAACTACCAAACAATCAGACCACCCCAGGAATAAGTGTGCCTCCAATTACCGTTTGCAACAATGTTGCAAATGGGTAATTGGCAATTCACGCAGTGTGTACTTTGTCCTCTGGGTGGCCGCCATTCGGGAGACGAACGCGTAGCGGCGGACATCTTAAACTCCCGAACAGCGGTGTTTTGCCGTCGAGTGTCTGGAACCCAAATCGGACACTCGGTTAGGCAAACACCGCTGAGACCACCATACTGCCGCCAATTCGTGTAAGAACTACCGAACGGCTCCCTGTTTGGTAGAAAGAACCCCACGAACAAGGGGATTTACCCGAATCCTCCCCAGTTCTCATAACCCAAGCCATTCGTGTGTTTCATTCCCTTTTCTGTGACCGACCGCAGGGCCAAAATGTATGGAACCCTTTTCGGCTGTTAATTCCAGCGCGGTCGGTCTTTTTAATACCTCCAGGAATTTCCTGAACCCCTGGTCCGATCTGGGTGATTTTTGGATATGTGTCTCACCCAGATCAGGGCTACCGGGGGATGTAATATTTAAAGGGGTACCCCTATGTTTAGGGGTACATCCAGAAAACAAGGGGAACTGTGTCCTGCATACTGGGATTATGTGTCATACTAAGGGGAGGGGATGTGTGGGTGGCAACTCGTGTATGATTGGTGTATTGTGTAATTACTGTAAATCCCTCCCTTGCGTGGGAGGAAGCTTTAAAAGACGTTTGTGTGACTAAAAGTTCAGTTCTGCTCCTGATGCTGTGTGCCGTCCAGTCATTTTAATACTTGTTCCTGAGCCTCACTGGGATCTTGAGTGGAGATAACCTGTGGAATATCAGCTCTCCGCTACAGTCACAATGTCACATCACTCCACCACCACACGCAATCAGGCACCCTATCACATCACTCCTCTCCCCATATATAGTCACCCTGTCACATCACTCCCTACTCAATACATAGTCACAATGTCACATAACCCCACCACCACACACACATACTCAGTCACCCTGTCACATCACTCCCTTTCCCATACATAGTCACATTGTCACATTACACCACCACCACACAAATATAGTCTCCTCCATACATAGTCACCCTGTCACATCACCCTCTCCCCATACACATTCACCCTGTCACATCACCCTCTACCCACACACACTAAGTCACCGTTTATATCACCCACACACACATACACTTAGTCACCCCTCACACAATGTCACCATGTCACAGTCATTCCCCACACTAGCCTCTGCCCTACACAGTAACCATGACACAGTCACTCCCCACATTTTTCCTCACACACACAGTCACAACATCAAAGTCATCCTCACTAACTACAGGCACCACCCCACAGAGAGAAACCCTCATACTCACACAATCATCACTGACACACACAACACAGTGTACACAGCAAGACCACAAACAGCTCCCCCCCTTATACACACAACACAAATCAAGCTGCTCCCTCCACGCATACACTCCAAGACACAGAGACGTGCTCCCAGACACAGAGATAAAAGGATATGCACTGCAGGCACGGCCACGGATACATATATCCGTGTGTCACTGCCAGACACGTACTCTCAGGCACATACACGTTACACAATGCCAGACATGCACACACAGGTACCAATACACACTGCAAGACACACACTGTGATTGTGTAAATGTATCTGTCAATGTATGTATTTTGTGTCATTATGTGTCTCTGTACGTCAGTGTGTTTGTGTGTGCGTGTATCAGTGTATGTATGCATGTATTAAACTGTACATATGTGTGCATGTATCAGTGTGTATGTGTGGGTTGTCTGTGTGTCCAAAGTGGCCACATGCCTACAATGTGAGGGTGACTTGGTATGGCCGATGTCATGGTAATGTGGCAACATATACAATACACGCATAAAACTGAAAACTGAGTGCATATCGGACAATGTATAGATAAGAGGATTACAGAGAATTGAGATTGAATGAGAACTGTTATTTATTTACATCTCTGTTTTCCTATCTGTAACCTCATTAATTGGTAAATTCAAGTTTTTTTGTGCAGATAACATTTTCGTTTTGGTTTCCATTAAATACTGAAACGAAACATACATTTAAACATTACTTTCCAGGACACACAAAATACTAGGATTCTTGGGGTGGTTTTGGTGCAAACCACTTGGTAGTGAAGGAGTTTCGTACGCTTCAAGTATAATTTCCTGATCTGTTCCCTAAAAATCCATTGAAAGGGTTTTCACTAAACACCAAATTATTTTAAATTGAAAATGGAACTGCAAAATTGAAGGAAAAAATGCTGATATGGAAAAAAATCTATAATAGAATAAGTTTTAGGCGACATTTTGCAAATCAGTTTGAAATTGCTACAATTCCATGTTTAGAAAATAAATAGTGCGTTGCTAGTTTAGCTCTTTGAAAGAGAATCCGGTTGGGTCCTTCATCCCAACCAATGCTAAGCTCAGACTATAACATTCTAATTAAAATTTAAACTTAAAATAACAACGGGGCTGTGGCAAGATTCCAACCTTCCGGCTCTTTGGCTTCTTGGACATTTAATGTTTCCTGTATACGTGTCATTGTGTATTCATTTCCTCTGTTTGGAAGGTCTCATTTTAGCAAGCTTTCCAAATAATTCCAATACTGTTAGATAAACTTACAAAAAAGATGTATCTAGAGAGGTCACCATGAACATTTATGGGAACTTCTGTAGATAAATCATTTGCATCAGTTTTTCTAACAGGATTGAATTTGAAGGTTTATTACATCGAAGCATAAGGCTCCAATTTTAATATTATTGGATAAGCTTTTCAATATTTTTTACAATAGTAATCTACCAGCAATCAAAAGCCTCTGCTCTGATCCATGTTGGGTTATCCCAGCACTATTTGCTATTAGGCCAGGTTCTACCAGTTGGAGAGAAAGCTAGTTCTCTATTCCAAGATGGCGGATGCCATTTGCTCTTTGACCCCAAGGCCTGCTTTCCAATACTAATTAACCATGCCAACTATTTCTAGCAACTCTTGCAGAAGTTTTACTGCAAACTGCAGCCTTCCACAGTCAAACGCAGCCTGTCTCCTGTCCATCTGCTGTTTTCCTTGTGAGAGACCCCCTACCTACCTGATACCAGAGACATCAACTGTAGCGGATGGCATTGGGCTGTCCTCAAAGTTTACTTTAAAAATGTATTTTGTGTGATTATTTCCCTGTATAGATGTATTGTATGTAGCATTCGACTGATTGAACCATCAGACCACCCCAGAGAGAAGTGTGCACCTCGTTAGGCTTTCACACTCTGTAACCGCAAGCTAATTGACCATGCAATCGGTACTTTGTATACATATCTGGGTGGTCGCCGTTTGGCATACGAACTGCGTGGCAGCGACCATCTTACGCAAGAAAATCTCAGCGGTGTTTGGTCATCGAGTGTTTGGAACTCAAATCGGACATTCAATCACCCGAACAGCGCTGAGACCTCCAGAGCTCCATAACTCCCGAACGGAGGGGCCAACCAGCCCCTCGTTCGGTGAACTAAATATACCGAATAAGGGAATTCATATGAATACTGATTTAACATTGGATGGCAAGTAATTCTATATGTTTTATCTCATGAACAGAGACCGACCGCAAGGCCAAAACACATGGAGCCTGTGAAGAAAATAGACTTTTACCTGTTATTTTCTCCCTTTTTATTCGGTATTTTTATATGTGAATACTTGTATATTGAATGGATTGGTTAGGTAGTTTGAAACTACCGAACGCCGACCACCCTCCTGGCTCATTTACTTCAAAACTAGCTATTAAGTGCTCCCTGGGCGGCCGCTGTTCGTATAACGGAACACCACGTGGAAAAGAAAACGGCGGCCATCTTGTTCGCACGAGGAGAGCCAGCGGGCCTTGGTCGTCGAGTGTCTGGAACTAAAATCGGACACTCGACCTCACGAACTACCGCTGGAAACTACCGAACGCCGGCTTCTCATATTTCCCAAACAGCCAAGAGAGCCTCATTCGGTAGTTCTGTGTGGATTTGTGGGGATACCTTGTGGGGAAAGGGGTGTTCTGAGTTTTGGGGAAATTGTGTGCTCTGGAGATAATTGGTTTATTCCTTAACTTCTCTCAATATCTCCCAGGCAGAGAGGAGGCGTGTAATACTGTAAATCTGTGTGATGATTGGCTGTTGCTTTTGTTTGCTGTGGGAGGTCCTCTTGCAGGAGGATTTCTCATAAAAGCCTGTGTGTTTTCAATAAAGACTATTCCTGTTACACCCTTCATGAAGTCTAGGCTCATGTTTGGGGGATATTCTACTTGCTGGGAAGAATCACCTTGGAACTGCATTTCATCTATTCTATTCCTCTACTCCCTGCTGCAGCTATAATCACTCATGCTCAGCTGTTGGGAGAGGGAACCAAGACCGCAGCACCATAACCACTGCAGGTCTTAACAGAGCCTTTTTCGGATACTACCTCGTGTGTGGTCGGTCAAATTGCCTCTTCCACCTAACTCCCGATCTGGGTGAATTTTGAATATGTTGGTCACCCAGATCAGGGCTACCATAATTATATCTGACTGTTTTGGGGTACATCCAGAAATCGGGTAAAACTGCAGTATGTATAAGTGGATTATGTGTCACACTGAGGGGAGGAGATGTGTGGGAGGTAACCATTACACTATTGGCTACTGTACAAATTAATGTGAATCCCTCCCTTGCATGGGAGAAACCTTTAAAAGGAGGTTGTGTGATTAAAAGTGCAGTTCTGCTCCTGATGCTGTGTGTCGTCCAGTCATTGGGATCTATATTGGGATATTTGTGGATTACCTTGCTTGCTGTGACTATTGTTATATGGGATTGTATTACTTGTTCCTGAGCCCCACTGGGATCTTTAGTGGAGATAACCTGTGAAATACCAGCTCTCCGCCACATCAACGATATGGCTGTCCTATTCATGCCTCTCCACAATCGGACAACCTGCCAAATAAATAGTTTGTACTGCCAATCTGTGGCAAAAAGGGCTTCCACATTGTGGACAGAATGGGCTTGTGTCTCTCTGGTGGGCAATTTTATTATTAATTTATATTGTGGGACTGTGTTCTTCCACCTGTGGGTATCGGCTGATCATAATTTGGATACTGGCAACATATTTTAGTTTTCCTCCATTTTTCCTTCTTGTTTTTACTACTTAGCATCATTTACCAAATATCAGTTGGCTTTTTCCTTTATACCACAATATGTTCTAGCTCCAATGGATGGTCTACAAACTGTCACCTGATGAGAGCTTTTATTTTAGCATTGCAACCTTTTATATGGACATCGTTTTGCTGCCATTTTCTGCATTCTCCCACATGTCTTTATCTTTAAAAAAGAGTGGCTAGCTTGTCTATTGTTATCTTGTAGCACTTTCCCTGCTTGTAATTAATGACCACCACTTAATAAAAAAATTATGAAAAAAATAAAATATCAACATTAAATAATCTTTTTCAAATTGTGTTTTATTCGTGTTTATACAGATAATATACATTGTTTCCATTATATATAAGTATACTGAAAAGAAAGATTCAAAACAGAAAATGACCAGGTGACACCCTATTAGTAAGGTAAAGAAAGGATAGCACATGTATATTTTGGCACTAGTGAGCCTAGAAGTAGACTGGAGTTCTAGACCCTTACATCTGGTTCACCACTGGTGGTTAGTGTCCCCTGTGGAAGTGGTGGGATGTGGTTTCTCTTGTTTTTTTGGGTTGCTGTTCTTCTTTGGAGAGAGTGTCTCTCTTGATGTAGGGGTCAATAGACACAGTCTATGGGTCATCTGATGAAGTTAGTGTGAGGAAGTCACCCCAGAGTGTTGCCTGAAGTTATCCCTCCACTCCCCAGTGGAATTTAGCAGAGCCTTCCCTTAGTCTTCTGGCCACAAGGGCTAGTCTCCTCTTCTCAGACAGTACCACAAACGGGATGTCAGCGTTGATCGATAGTGTGTGGCCTTCATACTGTATATTCCAAGTTGCCCTGGAACTATTCATTATTGTGGCTCTCATTGCAACGTCTCTTGTGGTGATGATGGTGTCTCTGGAGGCTTCACATGGACTTGTGCATCTGAAAAGCTGGTGATCTGTGAAGGGTCAGTGCTTCCCCTGACACCTGTAGAGATGATAAGGTTTCTGGTGAACAGCAGCAATTTCTCATCTCCCACAGACTCCGGGATGCTCCTGATGCGTATATGTCTTCACCTATGGGGTATTTCTAAAGAGGTCACCACTCAGCTCAACTGTTGTACCTGTGAGCTGTTTTTTTTTTTTTTTTTCATGAATCAGCCCATCTCTGGCTTCCTCCCTCTTTTCCACCTCTCTTACTTTTTAGTGTATCACACCCGTCTCTGTCTGTACTTCCCAAAGGTCTTCTTTTCCAGACTTGTCTGAGATCTATTAGTGGCCTCTTTATTAACCCCTTTCGTCAAGGTGGATTATTCCTCATCAGATTCTCTCTAGGTTCTTCAGAGGTCTCTGATTCAGCTAGGGCCACTTCTGGGCCCTGTTGCTTTCTGTTTCTGCACCCTACCATGTTTCTTGGGGGGTGCTTGTGAGCAGGCCCGGACTGGCCATCGGGCATTCCGGGCAAATGCCCGGTGGGCCGCGATGGCCGTGGGGCTGAAGCCGGCAGGGGATCTCCCCGGCCGGCCCCTGCAGGGCCAGCGCTATCCGAGCGCCAGCCCCACTGTGTGCCTCCATGGGCCGGTGGGGAGATCAAAGATCTCCCTCACCGGCCCACAGATAGGGAGATGCGGCCGCCAGCTGGGTGAGGGAGGGAGGGAGGACCCGGCGGAGCTCTAACCAGCAGCTCCGCCGGGTCCTCTCGCGAGATTCTGAGCGTTGCCATGGCAACGCTCAGATCTCGCGAGAGTGAACTCTAACCTGCAGGTTAGAGTTCACTCTCACCACTGGACCACCAGGGAAGGCAGCATGGTCCCCTCAAGGCTCCCCCTCCCAGGCAGAACGGCTCCCTCCCCCTCCCAGGCTAAAGGTAAGAAGGGAGGGGGGGGGACATAACTTTTAAAAAAATTATTAATAAAAAAATATATATATATTTAAAATTAATTCCCAAACAGCACCCCCAGACACACACACACAGCACCCCAGACACACACACACCCCAGACACACACAGCACCCCAGACACACACAGCACCCCAAACACACACAGCACCCCCAGACACACACAGCCCCCTCACACACAGCACCCCCAGACACACACACACAGCACCCCAAGACACACACACAGCACCCCCAGACACACACAGCACCCCCAGACACACACAGCACCACAGATACACACAGCACCCAGACACACACACACAGCACCCCCAGACACACACACACACAGCACCCCCAGACACACACACAGCACCCAAACACACACAGCACCCAAACACACACAGCACCCCCAGATACACACACAGCACCCCAGACACACACAGCACCCCCAGACACACACACAGCACCCCAGACACACACAGCGCACCCAGACACACACAGCACCCCCAAACACACACAGCACCCCCACACAGCACCCCCACACAGCACCCCCAGAGACACAGCACCCCCAGACACACACACACACAGCACCCCAGATACACACACAGCACCCCCAGACACACACACAGCACCCCCAGACACACACAGCACACCCAGAGACACATATATATTATATAAAATAACCCTCAGTGAGTTAACAGACAAAGAAAATTAGAAACCTAGAATGTGACGGCAGATAAAAACACCCTAACACACAGCACCCCTCTTACACAAACACACTGCGCACCTCACACATACAATACGTCCAAAATATATATATATACACACACACTACAGCACCCCTCACACTGCACCACTACACACATTACGCTCCAGATACACGCTAGATCCCTTACCCTATATGCACTCTTAATCCTCTACACACACACACACATCTTCTATACACACTCTGGGTCCTTTACACACTAGATCTCTTACACACACACAGTGCACCACCTACACACACACTACATTCCTTGTAAGCAAACACATACAACATTCTCTAAACACACCCTCTCTACAACCCCTACACACACTACGTCACCTATACACACACACTACTGCCCATATGCACACACTCGCTACATCCCCTATAACACTATGCCCCTATACACGCACTCTCTACAGCCCCTAGCCACACATATTACACCACAAAATCGACCTATTTACACAATACCACACCACACTCTACACACAGGCAATCCCACAAGCAGGCTCCAAACACATGCACCATACACTTTCCTGGCCCTTTTGTCGTCTGGTATCCCACTTGTGGAGAAACCAGAGACAATTTAATAGCAAACGCAGTGCAAGCATGTTAATACATTTGCTTGCGCTGGGCAGAACAAATACAGGGCCTTTTTCTAATGCCAGAGCTCTTCAGCAGGGCTCTGCGCATTGAACCAACATGCTCACTTTCAGAGGGGGCGTGCTTGTCATTAGTGATGACAAAACGCACCCTCTCTGGCCCCGCCCCCTTCTTGGGGGGGCCGCTCTAATTGAAAAATGCCCGGGCCTAATTTTTTTCCCAGTCCGGCCCTGCTTGTGAGTATAGTCTCAGGAGATCCATTTTATTTTCGGCCAGATTCACTTTATTGCGGAGTTCCACTAACACACATCTGCATAGCTCCTCTGTTGGCCACACTCCCGCATTATAATATTTTTAATATTACATAATTTTAAAAGTTATTTTTATTTTTGTAGTGCGTTGCAAGATAACAAGGAAAGACAGACATTGCAATGATAAGCTTAAGAGAATAGTAACGAGTAGTTACAAGACATGTCTGAGATACTGCACCATTTATATATATATATATATATATATATACACATATAATTAAACCTAATATGCTCCATAAGGATATAAAAAGTAAATGTAGCCTTAAAATAAAACAAAACAGGCTGCCATCCACTAATAATATTGGAGGCAGAGGAGGGAGAGGAAGGCTGCTCAGCGTATGCCTTGTAAGGGCCAGATAGAGTCCCGCACCAGAAACTGCCACATCAGGCAAGATAGCTCATGGGTAGGAATGAAAAGCAGCAACACTTAAACACACGGGCCATAAAGAAGGACATAAGCGCAACATTAGGGTGCCGCCATGCCTGGAGGGGTTGTTTTCGGTTGGTGCCAAGACGTGTCTCTCCGGACACTGACGTTCCAGACAGGTCTAATCAGGAGCAGGCTATACTCCCCTAAAATCATGCAGAGGTGCAGGACTGTGAGGCACTACGCGAGGTTCGACTCGAGATCAGGAGCCGCTGTCCACATGCAAGCAGCCAGCTTTGCCAAGAAGGAGTCAAATAGCCCAATCAGTCTTCTCTCCACATCACACCTCCATTGTCAGAGCAAACAGAAATACATATGTAAAAACTGATGGTACAGACTAGAGATCATTACCTATGTATACTAGAAGATAGGAAACTCCATTGCAGCCGTTTATGTAGGGACTTATACCATTAGCATCCATGAAGGTACTATAGGATATCAGTATCAGGCACTAATATAATCCATGTAGGTGCAGGAGATTATACTTATTTCTGGTTTTTTTGCACATTTGAAGGTGTAGTAATTGAGTTTTTTTGACGATTGTATTTAATAGTCCAGGCTATAGATAAGTGGACTTTGTGCAGGATAAGGAGCAGCATATATGTATAGAAATAGGCACTTTTAAGCCTCCAGATAATTGCTACCTTTGATTACGTCACACTTACCTAGACTGTGTCTAACGTTACTTACCTTCTCCCTCCTATCTCTCCAGATCTTCCAATATCATCTCGCTTTGTGTACTTATCTTACAATTATTACCCTACTTTTCTACTCCAATAACCCCCTGTACTGCCTTTACAACCAATTTATAATTTAGGTGATCTCTCCCTATTATAAATACAGTTTTCTTTTAATGAAACTCCCCTCTCCTTTTTCAATGATTGTGCCAGATTATTTGGACATTGTAAATCATGAAATGACTCTGAAGGGATGTTTATTATACTGATACGGAATATACAAAGACACAATATATCACCTGTTGGCTTCATATTTAGGTTTTAACAAAAAAATGGTGGGCACACCCGACTGCCATCCATATGCAAGAAATCCATGCAGTCAATACGAATACAAAGGTAAGGGTGCTCACTCTAAAGCAGGGCTGTCCAACCTGCGACCCCCCAGATGTTGCTGAACTACAACTCCCATGATTCCCTGGTTATCTGTTTCATTGAAAGAATCATGGGCGTTGTATAGCAACATCTGGGGAGCCGCAGGTTGGACAGCCTGCTCTAAAGCCTTATTTCCAGAGGCTAATAAGACTATAATAATGAATGAGGAGCA